GCTCTGGTGTGCGCACGTTTAGTGGAAGCGAGAGACCAACATGCGACCTGCGACGTGTGGTCTCGTGCATGGCTTAGCATGCGAGTCCACTACAAACTAATTCACGCGAAAGTCACGGCGTCCGTACTGTGGGGTGCGCGGCAGACATCCTCTGGTTTTCGATGTTCGGATGGTTGTCTTACGGATACTAAAAAGCACTCTGGTGTATAAAGACTCACGCAATGACTGTCTACTCTTTAGGATCTGTGGCGCGGATTTTAACGGTAAAATAGCCGGCTCCCTAAGGATTCCGGGTTGCTTTACAAAATGCTGCAATCAAGCCAATATTTCTGCCTAATCTAAGCTAAGCTAAGTCCGCGCCATTAAGCGATAGGAGAAACCACAAAGATACTGTTCTCATTGTGATTGCGAATCTCTGCTACGGAAAATGTAAACAGTGCACCTTTTCCTTTTGATGGTTCATAGGTCTCATAATAAACGGTTCCCAATACCTTTTACGTGAAACTCCTTTCGTTGCATCTCCTTTTGAAGGCTCATTCGAGTATTTCTAAATTGAGAATAGGGTAGGACGATCTTTAGAGGTCTTACTTGCCTTTTGAATTATAACCTACCTTTACCTATTGCAGCAGCCTGACTTTCCCTTTTTCTTTAAATTCTGCCACTATAAGGTCGAATTTCCCTCAGTTGTCATCAGTTGCCCGAGCAACAGGAGTTTATGTTGATGGTTTTTTTATATTTAGTTCATTTAAACAACTATAAGTGGCCTCAATTTAATATTATTTGGCCACTTTCGACACAATTACATATTCATTTGCACTCATTAACCAAGAAGTATATGTTTAACCACCAATTCTATAAGGCAGTTTGGCGGAAGGAATACATATTTAGGCGGCCCTACAAAACAGTCCTGCCGAGAATACTTTTTGTCCGAACAAAAGAGAGCATCGAATATCACCCACACACACCCGCCAATTTGGGTGTCACACATTCTACCGTTTGATGAACTCTCAGCCCGACACCTAAACTACCTGTTCGCTGTCCTCCTCCCGCACCCCTAGATTATGTTCTCTTACTTCTTCTGGCCACTGGCCTATACCATGGGTGTCCCGGCGAAAGACTGCGGCAAGGTGGCCGAACTTCTCGGTATGAAGACCGTTCTGAGTGAATTTGTTGCCTACAGACGTTTCGGTGAGTACTTTATCTTCCTGTGTCTCCTAAAAAGTCTCCTTGAAGGTAACACGTTCACGTGTTGTTGACTACAGGCACACATTTAAATCATTCTGTCAAGTTTTGGACTGCATGGGCTGCGCGAGTCAGTTACTTTTACCTTGCTGTTGAATAGACTCTAACTGGCCTAGTAGGTGTTAAGTACTTGACTTGAAATTGTTCAAACAGCGAGTTGTCTTGTTTTCTATAACGCTTTTAGTGAATATTTTGATGAAATCCTACTTTGGGTTTCAGAAATTGTTTAAATGATCTCATGTTTTCGCAAAGAAATAGCGCGCCATAAATAAACACAGAAACTTACTTACATTCCTTTCTTACTCATAGTTCATTACAGTGAGTGTACAAACTCATAAAATGTGTTCGAAAAAGTAATAAAAGTCATTTTGCGGGAAGTCAGCACACGCGGCGTGCCCCCAAACTATCATAATAGTAAAGTAAGAACCATAAGTAAGAAAAAGTCAGAGTTTGGTTGAGAAATTACTATGTACTAGCATAAAAAATTTAATTTTCACAAAAATTTAAAAACTCAGGTAATGGCAATATAAAAAGTCGCTGGTCCAATGTGAAATATAAATATGTTTAAGGCATGGGAATGGAAAAGAAT